CCTTTGTGCCAACTCTTTTATCAAGATTAATATATCAAACGATGATGATGTTACTTTTGGGGACACATCGACCACGTTATCATTGAACCTTAAAACAACTTAAATACCCGCAGACAAAATGTTTTTAAAACATTACTCGTGTCACGCAGGATGCTCTATTTGTTGCTTTGAAAGGTTTAGATGAAATACAAACTTATAAGTCTTGCTGAAGGAATCTCGTTTTATTTATTTTTGTTATTTTGTTTGCTGTTTTAAAAATAACTTTCGAAATGAAACGTTATCGTGCATATAATAATCCTATTTTAATTAGCATCTTCATTCTGCTGAGATAAAGTCTTTTCGATTGTAGACTAGTCTGTCATGTGTGTGGAAGTCTTGAGTTACTTATCAAGGCCTGATCATCTTTCATGTTATTCTTGAAACCAGAACTTGGACTCGGCTTTTCTTCGATGATTTCCCTTAAGGCAGCGTTCCCCAAATGTACTCTTTTATCAACGAATAGTAGGATTGACTGTCACATTATAACATCCCCACAGCTGAAAGGGCAAGCATGTTTGGTGGGACAGGGATTCAAACCCGCGACCCTCAGATTGTGAGACGAACGCCCTAACCACCTGGCCAAGCCAAGGAAAGAGAGTCCTGTGGGTTTGGTTTGTTTTCAATTTTGCACAAAGCTACACGAGGACTATCTGTGCTAGCCGTCCCTAATTTAGCAGTGAAAGACTAGAAGGAAGGCAGCTAGTCATCACCACCTCTTGTGCTATTCTATTTTAGTTCCCACCCCCACAGCAGTAAAGATGAGCACCCTCCCATCAACCATAAACATAAAGCTTATATTTGCTGATACCTTAACAAAATACAAAACTTTGTACAGTATATGTTTTTATAATACACAAGCATAAATATAAAACATATCATTATACCAATGTATATGCATGTCAGGAGCACAGTTCATTTTGTTTCACTTCTCTGCCCATGTGAGTGGGTTATCACAATATAATTTTCATTCATTTCTTGGCAATAATTAATTCTCCCAAACTTTTCACATCTCCATTTAAAATCTTTTGTGCTCCCCTAGGGGGTCATGCCCCACAGTTTGGGAAACACGACCTGCAGGAATTAGAACCTGTTCTTATTTAGAAGTGATGGAACCTTCCTCTTTCACTGAAAAACAATTACAGCTGTCCTTAAAATGCTGGCAGACATGTTATGTGGGACAGAAAGGATTAACTGACTTTCATAGTAGAACAAATGCAAATCTGAGCCTTTTGAACACATGCATCATATGGGTGATCATCACAAAAGTCTGAGAAGAGTGCTTCAAACTGATTCACTGTGCCAGCACTGCAATGAGTGGGGTGTGTTTGGGATGCAAAAACCATACTCTCAGAAGTATGCTGAAAATGTTCATTCTTGAAAATCGGACAAGCGTTTCAAGTTGGTCATTTTAAGGATTTATTGTTGTAATGGGAAGATTCATATAAAAGCTCTCCGATATGCACAAATAAAAGGATTCCCTCTCATCATATCCCAAACCAATCATCAACAAGAACACTTATGTAGCATGCATTTTGTCAGTAGAAGTGTAACAACCTGCAATCAGCAGAATACATTATCAAAATAATCAACTTTCTTGGAGACAGAGGACTCCGAAAGAAGGAAATAGCCCACTCCATAGCCAGAGAGCTTCAAACTTTAATAATGTTCATTCAGAGATCAAACAAAAAAAAGAGTCAACAGGAAAGTTAATGGCTTGACACCTGAAAATATCCTATGAAATACAAGTTTATGAAGAAGTATACCCAAAGCCAGCATTTCCCAAGGTGTGGGGTAGGCAACACCACAGGGTGCAAATGATCGTTTGGGGGGGGGGGCAATTAGGGTAGAGCCAACAGTACAATAATGTAAAATTAGGCATTTTAATATATTTTTTATTAATGAAAATAATAAGTAATTACTACAGCACATATAGTATTTTAGTGTGTATCCATATAACTCATTACTTAACTCACTCTTTCGATCATTAAAAAAAAAGAGAGAGAGGCGGGGTGCAAGAAACCATATTTATTAAAGGGGGCATGGACGACCAAAGTTTGGGCAATACTGCTCAAAACAATGATTACTATTGCTATTTAACCTTACAATTATTAGACAAGTGTGTATGTGTGTTAGCTCTATAGAGAAATTATACTAGATATCAGTACAAGCTTTGAACTATTAGCAAGCACAGGTTGTTTAATACATGATATTTGTAGCTATATATTCACTTTTCTTCACAAATTACATTAAATAACAGGAATGAAACATTAAATTTAACACCACAAATGCTACAAGCAGAACCTACATTCACTCACGCAACATACAATATGCTGTAACATTCTTTTCAGATTTTGTAGTTCTTTCAATCTCACCAGAGTGTACATCAAGTGTGAATACCTCGGCTAACTTACTGACTTAAGTCAGTAATGAAACTGTGAATGGATGTTTCCACTTCCTT